AACAGCATATTCATGCACTTACTCGGCTTCCACTTCTATGAATGCCTTGGCATCTGTTGCTTGTTTCATGTTACCTGATGACAGAAAAAAATAAAAAGCATAACAGAAATGGTTTTAAAATATTGACAGCAGCTCATGCCTCATAACAATGCAGAACTTCTAGAAATTCATTATTACTGTGAGTCTGGATAGATATAAGATATCTAAGACAAGCAATAGAAATATGAAAGAGAAGGAGCGTATGAAGAAATCAATTAAATGTTATCACAAATGCAAAAGCAGCTGAATTACTCTTACCTCTGTGTTTCCTCCTGGATACAACCCTGTTGGCTGTAAAACAAGAGCTAGCCCGTTTTTTGGGAGACACATTATTTTGTCTTGCGCACTCTGGAGAAGTTTTTGTAAAAACATCACCTAGCTTGCGTAGCCTTCTAAGTTTGTTCTTTTCACAAACTCTTTCTGGCAAGTGTTGAGATTCCAAAAGCCAGTCTTTGCTGCAGGTTGGGCTTGACAGCTTTGCCAAAGGAGTTCGATTACCACAAATAATGATTGAATGGGAAGACGTGGGAGCTCTTGCTCCAACCTCTTTTTGTAAAGGAGTTATAGTTTTAACAATGTGTGAAGGAAGACTTTCTTCCCCACCAGTACTACAATGGACAGCCTGTTTATCCTGTTTCAAGGGCCCCATTATGCTTTCAGAACTCAGCTTCTTTCCTTCATCCTTATCTCTCTCTGTTAAAAAACTCGTAGTTAACTTTCAGCATATGGGCAGTATCGGGCAAAGCTAACTAAAAAGAGACATGCTAACCTGGACTGCACATGGGAGATTCTGGAACAACACCACTCTTGATAAAATTGGTTAGCCGTGGACTATGTGCCTCCACATCTTCGGAGTCATAGCTCAATTCTTCATTTAGTGACACATCTGTACTATCTGTTATTATTGCTTCAGGATGCTCCCCAACGCTAATATCTTTTGATTCCACCTGGGAAAAAGGACTTTCAGGAACTCTTTCTGATTGGGAACCATCTCCTTGACATTCATCCACATCATTGCGTAATCTGGATACCACCAGAACATGCTCCTTCATTCTCTCTCCATGATCAGCATGTTTTCCTTCGAATCCTTGGTTCTTTTCCAGAATAAGATCAACTGGACTCATGAAGTGGTCACAAGCATCTTCTGTTGACAGCTTTGATGGCAAGACGTCAGTGTCCACGAGTTTAGACTCAGAAACTGCTTTGGTTGAAAGTTGTGGGACCGATAAGACTAGGACATTTCCTAGATTATCAACCTTCACAAGCTCTGATTCGAATAGAGACAGATGAGCATGGGAAGTCCTCCCTGTAAATTCATTCACAGAACTCATTGTTTCAGCTATTGTTTTCACGGGAACAGGAGACTTATCATTTTCTAATAATTCTCTCCCACAATCCTCTATCGGCGAACAGCTGAACGTCTTTGGATCTAAAACAAGAAAATGCAAGTAAAGTTAAGTCAGTTGACTAAAACGGTACAAAGTCTCCCTTTCTTTTTTCCTTTTGTGGTGTGGACATGCCAGAAGGAGAGAAAACATAAGACATGGTCTGATGTACTAGTCGCCTCCCATATACCAGTCATTAAACATAAACTACTGATGGTACGGAGCAGAACAGATCATATATGAAGCCTCTGACATGCATAATTTTATGTTGATTTATTCATTTTGAGCTTTGAAGGTCGAATTGATTGTTACGTGCCTACTCGCTATCCTGGAACAAGCCTCATTAAATCATTTTGCAAAGAAGTGTAAGATTAAATACATTGTAATTTGCCCAGATCATTCTGCTTATACGGAATTAGCGATAACCTTGATAACTTCAATTGGTTTGGTGAAACATCCCAGTAGAAATGATAGTATTTCAATCATGGACACCAGTAAACAAGGGGCAAAAAACTTTATGAAACAACGTATAAACTAAGAGATAAGGCTGCAAATGTAGTTCTCCAATTCTCCCTCTGAACACTTGTGAGGAAGCTCATTACAGTCTCATGATATTTTCCATGCAAAGTTATAAATAAATACATAGGACAATGTCGGCTTAGAATTTCAACCACTTCAGTGTACTTCGGGTGAAGGTATTGATGATGATAAAGCTTGCAAGTCTTGGAAGTTAGGTTCTTAAATACTAGGATTACCCCACAAAAGTTTTCATGACACTCTTTATGAGATGAAGGAACCGAGGAAGCACTTCAAAGAAATGAATTCATGGATTTAAAAAGTTGAGTGCTTTGCAATTGTAATGTTTTGGGCCTTCCTATCAACCCATCTCAAATTAAACTCCAAGGATCCCACACAAAAATAGTTGTACCACATCATCTTAATGATGTGTAGTAAAGATTAAAGAACTTATAGAGAACGAAAAACTGGTGGGTTTGATATTAGCTTTACCTTCACCATTTTCATATGGTTCTGCAGCTTCGCCATTTTCATATAGTTGTGCAGCTTTAAAATCTTCATATGTTTCCGCAGCTTCACCATTTTCATATGCTTCTGCAGTTCCACCTCTCGTACACAGATCTCTAGATGTTTCAGCCTGAATCCAAGAAATTATATCATGACATTCTTCTACACAAAAGTTTTATCAAGGTTCGAGAATAAACCTGGCTTGAAGCTTTGATACCACCAGAACATGATAAACCTTCCAAATGCTGCATTGCATCTATTAGCATCTCCGTTCTAAGTGAATGTGATACGCTATGCACCCTAGACGGAAATGCCTGGAAATGACGGAATGCAATTAATGACGGCCTCCACAAACTCTCTCCATTGCTGTTGAAATATTTTGCGAGCAAATTGATTTCTTTGTCACTGAGTTCATTTTGCAGTACAGGACTCTGAACATGGAGGGCATCTTTTGACTTCTTTCCACGAGGAACAAATGCTTCGATCAAAAGCTTAACATGTTGAACTTCTGGTCTGAGAGCATGTGGAATCTAAAAAAGATTTACACAATTGACATATCCAATGATGAAATTATAAATTAATATGTTTTTACGAAACTAATCAACAAACTTAATAGACAGAGGTATACCATCCTAGGGCTGGGATGAAACCTAAATGTATTTGTTCCCCCATTCGCCATAAGTTTTCCTAACACCTTGTTTGTTGCTTGTTTTCGCAGAAATCCTTTGAGTTCTGGCCCTTCACAAGCTAAAACCAGTAGGAACAGTCAAGGAAATTTAGGTAATATACAGTATACACCTACATTTCTATAAGCACATGGGAAAGTTTGTATTATGCTAGGCTAGAGGACCAAAGGATATCAACTCGTCCTTCATGTTTTCTCCCTGTCCTCCCCATCCGCTGAGTCATTCTCAATGGAGAGAGATTAGAATCAAAACAAATAACTAGATCAACTTCCATTATATCTAGGCCTTCTTCTCCAATTGATGTTGCAACAATGACATTATACCCACCAGCTCGAAATTTCTGCTTGCAACAGTCAATTAATATCAGTGAGATGATTCCTAAAGATGACACTGTAAGATGAGATAAGAAATGGAGCAGGAAAATCAATCACCTCAAGAACAGCCTGTTGAACTTTTTGTGACTGGCCCTTTAATGTTTTTCCTGTGAAACGATCGAGTAAATTTTATTAGGCAGACCTCAGTTCCTTTAATAATGAGTACACTTTCAATTCACCACACAAATTACATATAATCAAAATATTCCAACGTGAATGGCTCACCCAAAAAATTATTGCAAACACGGGAAGCGATGTGTTAACTGTTAATGATAACTATAAAATAATGGATGTCTACCTTCTGAAATAACTTAATAGATCTAGTTGAGACAAACATTGTGGTTGAATAAATATATAGCATACACACATTAGAGTTCTCACAAATCACTAAAACAAACTAAAAGTTTACTTAAAATCGAGTGCAACTACAAAAAAACACCTGAGTTTTGCCCTACGAATTCAGTTGCTTTTATGGATGGTCCAATGTTTGTAATTGCGTCCATAATGTCCCTAAAGCAGATTAAGACAATTCAGACCATGAAAGGCGTAAGTTTTTGCATTGTAAAATAAGACCAGCACATAAAGTACAAACTGCAAGAGGGGGATCCCTTTTACCTTACGCTTCCTCTGAAATTTGAAAAAATGATAACCCTTGAATTTTGGGGATCATTCATTTCTGCATGAGCATATATGCAGGTCAGCTACTCCTTATTTGCTCAATATCTTCATTCAAAGCAACAGTAAAAATGACAAAACCAAGTCCAAACATTTAAAGCAATGTCTGATAAATGTTGGGTAGAAATGAAGGAAAGTTATGAAATAAATAAAACCATGTCTTGATCCCAAAAAACTCGCCACCAAAGTTGATACAGGAGTAGAACGCTCTCCCCTCATATATAGGGGGGTTCTGGTGAGAACCCGTTTTAACATGAGAACATATTTATAAATGAGAACTTTTAATCTACACCTTCAAATTTCTTATCAATGGCTGAAATTAACAAGGAGTCATTTTTGTGAATATATTACAATAAATAAAAAAGACCCCATTTGATTTTGGAATAATTACAAAAAAACATCATGTGTGTGCTAACCATAAAAGAAAATGGAAGGTTGAGACAAAAAAATCTCATCAAGGAGTTCTCATTTTAAAATGGGTTTTCACTAGAACCCTCCATTGTGGGTGTGCAGCGCACTCATACATAAATACATTTCACACTTTAAAGCATAATGCATAAAGTGCCTGACGTAATACTTAGTTATTTCCAGAGATGCAAAAGAAACTATTATGTTAGTTTTTTTATTACTTTTATGATTTATGGTTTTATTAGTAATTTAGTATTAACACTGCAATTCGTGTTAGACCAAAATTCTCAGTGAATTTTAACAGCCTAGAAAGAATAGTGTATAAATATATGTTAGGGTATCGATAATTCAACAGTAATTCTGAACTAAAAATGGCGATGAAGATCAATGACCAAAATTTATTGTTTAACCGAGATATAAGAATACAATTCCCAAGTCGTTTCCGACTCCCAAAGTCCCAGTCCCAGTCCCAATTTCTGCCTACCTTTATTACTCTACTCCCACTTCTATTTATAGTAAATTCCCTTTTGGGCTGGCCCAAGCCAACTAGTACCTAGCCCAAACCCTTATTTATACAATAACACACTCCTGAGTATAATACTACTATTATTATTATTCATATTGGCGGTCCATGTCCCTATCATATCTCCCCCCTTGAACAACCACCTTGTCCTCAAGGTGGGTGATAAGAGACAGCCTTGATCTTCCACTTCATCTTCATCCTAGCACCCCTTCCTTCCCAGTACATTGCTGAATTCTGTACCTTCGGCTTTGGTACTTGACTCTTCATTTTCCAGTTCTTCTCAGTCAGAAAGAGCAAAAATAAAGGCAGGGTGGCATATTGCACCCTGGTGTTGTAAAATTCTCCCCATGTCTGTAACTCCTGATGATGTCTTTGCTCTTGTTCCCACATCTTTTCAAAAGAATTGACCTCAGCTTGATCAAGACCATGAATCCAATCATACTTGAAACTTTTCAGTAAGCATTTGTCTCTAATATTCCCAGCAACAAACATGATCCCTTCACCATCTATGGAAGCCAGGGCACAACATGCTGTCTCATAGAGAGCAACAGCAACCTGCTTACCAAGTTCTTCCTTATAATTCTCAACTGTTTGCTCAGTCAACCTATTCACCCTTACCACAGCTTTATTCATGAAGTCCATGCCTACCGGGATTGGGTTCCACTGGTGTTCAATAATGCCCTTATTATCAGCAATTTCAGTGAGCCTTTCCTTCATCCCTGGGTTGGCTGTTTCCTTTTCCATCTTAGATTCAATCCTTGCAGAATTGAACAGGCAGAATCCTTCTCCACTTGCTTGAATCTTTTGAGTGATAGAATTGAAAGGAACTTGGTGTCTGCTGCTATAGGCATCTCCTTGAAGCTTCCTGACTACTCCCTTTTCCTTCCATGTAATGGTGAGCTGGTTGAAATTAAATTCAACATTTCCCAAGCTTGCTAACCATTCCAGACCCAAAACCATCTCATTTTCCCCCAATTCTAAGACATAAAAGTCTTGAGTGATGGTAGATTGTGGTATGTTAAGACACACAGCTTCACATTTCCCATTGTTTCTGATTATGTCTCCATTTCCTATCGTAACCTCAAATTCTGGGATCTGTAAGGTAGGTAGGTTTGCTGCTTGAACTATCTTAGGAGATATGAAATTGTGGGTAGCCCCACAATCAATTAATATGACTATTTCCTTGCTTCCCATTTGGCCCTGAATTTCTCCTCTCAACTTGAAAGTCCTGGGAGTAGTCAATCCTTCTTTACACAGTAATGACAGTTGCATTTTTGAGATATCATTGTCCTCCATCATAGATACAGGTTCTGGATAGTTGTCCCTTTGCTCTTCCTCCTCCTCCGAGTCATCTAACATGATAATTTGGAAGTGTTTCATCTGGCAGATATGGTCTTTTCCCCATTTCTCCCCACATTTGAAGCAAAGACCTTTTCTACTCAACTCCTGCAGCTCAGACTGTGTCAACCTCTGTGTTCCCCTTATCCCTGCACCTTTATTTCCTATCTCATTGCTTTTCTCCCAGTTAGATTTCTCAGATCCAGACTGATTGGTGAGGCTATTCTTCCACTGATTCTCATTCAACCATCTTTGAGGTTGGGCTGTAGTAGTCCCCTTTGTTCCCCTTCTATCATCTTCCCTGTACCTGCTGGAACTGAGGATACTATTACTCTCTTCTATCCTCAAGGCCTTATTCATGACCTCTGTCAAAGTTCTTACAGGATTCTTCTTCAATTCAGCCTTAACCTCTGGCTTCAATCCCTTCATAAAAATCCCCTTGAGCATTTGCACATCAGTATTTTTTAATGGTGCTGACACCAATTCAAATTCATCTCTATACTCCATAACACTTCCAGTTTGCTTAAGATTTAATAATGGACCATATGGATCCTGATCCAATCCTGGTTCAAATCTCTGCAACAAGGCCCCCTTAAACAGATCCCAAGTTCTCACATTCGAATGTTCCTCCCACCAATGATACCAGTTTAAAGCCCTTCCCTCCATGGCCAGAGTTACTAGATCAACTTTCTCCTCATCATCAATTTGGTTCAATTTAAAAAAACGTTCCACCTTAATAGTCCATCCATACGCATCATTTCCATTGAAAAGGGGCAAGTCAACTTTCCTTCCAGACTTCTCCATCCAACTACGATGATTATCGATAGGCCTAGAAGAAGTAGATCGATGACTACCTGAGACTGATCGAGAGTCACTGCTCCCCTGCCTGGCACTCGTTTTGGAGTTCGTTGATCGTCCGCGGGAATGGTGGCGATGTTTTCTTCTCAACAGCTCGCGAATGTCCTCGAGGTCACGTTTGGCTTCCTCGCTCCTCATCCTGGCTTCCTCGCGAGCCTCCTCACTCCTTATTCTGGCCTCTTCGCGGTGCCTTGCCAACTCGCGCTCAATCTCTGCAGATTGTCGCGCCAATTCTCGCTCCAAGTTTTCCAATCGTTCATTCATCTTTCTTCTCGTAGCAACCATAAACAGGTACCCCGATCGTCAGCTCTGATACCAATGTTAGGGTATCGATAATTCAACAGTAATTCTGAACTAAAAATGGCGATGAAGATCAATGACCAAAATTTATTGTTTAACCGAGATAAAAGAATACAATTCCCAAGTCGTTTCCGACTCCCAAAGTCCCAGTCCCAGTCCCAATTTCTGCCTACCTTTATTACTCTACTCCCACTTCTATTTATAGTAAATTCCCTTTTGGGCTGGCCCAAGCCAACTAGTACCTAGCCCAAACCCTTATTTATACAATAACACACTCCTGAGTATAATACTACTATTATTATTATTCATATTGGCGGTCCATGTCCCTATCAATATATTAGTACATGATAATATAAAGCAATGCACAATAAGTAGTCAACAAAAATTAAGAGAAATGGATTATTAATAAACAGGAATCAATGCCCAAGATGCATACTGAAATGATCAATTAGTATTTCCAGCATTTTTGACAGTTTTGGATTAGAAGCTCCGTGATCTACAGTTTTCTGCATTAGAAGTTTTGCTTTCAAAAGATCTTCGTTTCTACTCACTAGTCGAGCAAACTGCCTGAAAATAAAAGCTATAGGTTCAGCGAGCTGAAAAGAAACTTTTACAACACATATATTCTATGAGAAGAAGGATATTGAAATACAACTTTAACACTCTTCATTCTTACACAAAACCAGAGCAACTAGCTGGCAATAAACCAGAGAAATTTGAATATCCATGTGACCAATTAGCTAGGCAATACAGGTTTAATTATTTGCAACATAGGTACTTCAGACATTTGTTTACTTGTTGAATATATTTTGTATGAGAGGCAACACCGCTACATAACAGAGAGCAGGTTAAAATTGACATAACCTTGACAGTCTTGACTCTTGACTAGAATAGCTGAATAGTTCTGAAACATAAATAGTGGAAGACAAACCCCTGTCGCAGCTTTTCATCAAGCATCTCAAATGCAGGCCTTATTCCATGGCTCGAGAGTAGCTTCCGAACATGATAAAGTGTCAAAAGGACTCCAAAGTATCCTTCCACATCTCCATACTTTACTTGAGGAATGTCCTTTGGTGGATCTCTACGAAATCTGGCACGTGCATCAAGTATGTCACATGGGTTGAACTGTCCATCATAAAAGAAAATTAATGATTTGTACATAAAATACAATCTATTTCAAAGTCAATGCAAGACAAACAAAACACTCCAAATTCATCATAAGCACAAATAGGGAAGTAAAGAATGTCAGACCAAAAGAAGATAGCAGGAAGGACAGACATGTAAGTGCAAATTTTACATGCATAAACGTACAAAAATATAAATATATGCATATGCATACATATGTGTGTCTGTGTGTGTATACATTTATATGTTTTTTAACTACAAATTAGATGCTCCCATATTTCAGTATAATCATTAAGTCATTAAAAATAAGGCAAAATAATCATAACCCTTACAAATTGGGAAACGAAGTAGGTAAAATTTGAAGGGGAAGAGTTATAAGTAAGCCAATGTGTCAACTACATGAAATCTTATTATAAAGAAAAATTAACATTTTGGATATGTGAGTCATCAGTCATGTGGCATGTAGAATAAGTGCTGGAAGGCTAAATGGAAAGGAGCATCAGGAATACTATGTGATCGTAATGTACCCCTAAGTCCTAACACCAACAGGCAAATTTTGTAGAGTGCTCTAAGACGGACTTTACTATATGAATGAGAAATTCAGACGGCTGGATAAAAAAGAAAAATTTAATGACAATTAGTGTAGCAGAGACTGAGAGATGCATATGTTAAGACTACTTTTGTGTATCGCCTAAACTAACCCCTACGCCTAACTTATCCCAGTTGGCCGCCTACTTCCTAATAACCACCAATTTACAAAGCTGTCTAGGTCCATCTCTGCCTTGGACAACTTTTACAATACAAGGGGGCTTGGTGCATCATAATAGGAAATATGGAAAGGGCAGCAGTCCTGCAGATTAATGAATAAGTGTATTCTGGTCCATTTAGAATAGAAACATTTCCCTTATCCAAATCCCACAGTTTTTGAGGGAGGTGGGTTGGAGGGGATTTTTGAAATATTTTCCATTCCCTCCCATTTTTCTACCCATAGTCATAAACACACACACATGTGTGCATGTGTATAGACACACGCGTGTGTGTGTAGAGTACAGACATAAGAGGGCAGAGGAGCACATTCTCTTTTCTCTTTTCCAACCAAACGCTGTGTACAGCTTTCTTTTTATATCAAACTTTAATAGTTGGGATAATAAGACACATACTCTCTGAAAATCTCTATTCTGAAGTAATCCAAACGCAGAAAGCCGTCCAGCAAATGGCCTTATTACATCTGACAGCAGATTATTGATTTCATCAGCATCTTGTCCCATGGCAACCTAGAATCATGTGACAGGAAAACATTGCCTATATGTTCTGATACTCAGAGTAGAGAATATAGGACTACAAACACAAAAAGTAATATATATATATATAAACCAAAAAAATTATGTACCTTTACATGTTCTATCTTCCGGTCATGCACATGAGGGAGCACATCTCGGTCATTTTCATCACGATATTCTAGTGTACTTATTTGTAAATTATCAATAATATGCTGGACATCCTGCTGTTTAGCTGAATATTAGAGATTATCAGAGAAGGTAAGGTAAAAAGAGAAAGAAAAAAAATGTTCCAACATGGAGAACCTCTTGAAGTGATAAGATACTTACATCCTGGTGTTGCACTTAAAGCCAGAATTCTGAGTTGTACAGGAACAGCCATCAACTAAAACATCATTAAAAACAAAAACAGATTTATCTGTCAAACTAAAGAAGATCAAAATACATTTTCAATGAAGACCCTATGCTAGAAAGATGCCAGGAAATTTATACATATGTTTGTGTGTTTGTTCAGATTCCTCTGTAACAGTGGTACATGAAAACCAAATCTTCACTCAACAACTAGCAAATAATATCAAAGTCCATAAAAATGTAGGTACGAAAATTTAATCCTTTATATTCTTTTTACAATTAATGCAGGAGAATGTGCACCTCCACGCTCCATCCGTCCCTCTATATATGTGTTGTGTGTGTGTGTGTGTGTGTGTGTGTGTGTGAGAGAGAGAGAGAGAGAGAGAGTCATAGAAGAGAAAATCAAGACAAACCTCACGAACCACTACACAATAAGAGTAATTCCCAGTAGCACGATGAGCCTCATCAATCACCAAGCAAACTAGATGTTTCACCATGCATATACCTGAAAAATTCATTAGTCAGAAAAATGAAAAAAATCTACTCGGAAGATAAAGATGAGTTTAATCACAATACATGTTGTGAAGAACAAAAGTTTACAGCATTGCAAATTAAAAAAGAGCAGGTGAAGTTTATAAGCATCAAGGTACATATCATGTTCCAATCAAACGGTAGTTACGGTGCAATAAACAAAGTTCTATACTTCTACCTTAAGCATTTAAAGTTTGTTTTTTCCCTTCGGCCACCCTGTCTAATGTCCCTATAAAGTCCTAGAAAAAGTAGAAATGCAAGCTACACCCATATTATGTGCATCTGACAATAGAAACCCGGTATGCCTTTCCCATTCCCCTTGTTAAACATAGCAACATCATTGTCTAGATGCTAGACAGAAAGTATATTAGAGCAGTTCCGTAGTTCACATATAGTCATATATACGCATTGGATTTTTGTATCTTGACTAAATGACTTGCTTTCCATTAAAAAGGTTCTCCTGTCATTTCCTTAACCTGTAACATCTTAAAGAGGATAACATAAAGAAAACAGGATATTACTTTTACAAAAAAATTTGTCATTCAAACTTTATGTTCCACAAATAGTTTAAACTTAAGCATATATCTGCAAAGCTGACACATTTATTCTTTTTATTTATTTATTTATTTATTTATTTATTTATTCTTTTTATTTATTCAGAGTGTTCAATATCATTAATCAAATTTTAGACACAAAACCAGTGAAGTAAAACAAACCAGAAAGGATGTCCCTCTCCAGCACTTGCGGAGTAACAAAGAAAACTCGTTTTTCTTTCCAAAAGCTTTTTCTTCTAGTGGGACTGGTTTGACCTGTAAGATCAATAGCATACTCCTGCACTCCATTCAACAATAACTGTCTCAGATTTTGTAAATGCATGTAGACTGTTCTCTCTATAAATGACGAATTAGCGATACAAGTAAACAATCACACAAAAAGTGCTGGAAAGCTAGAGAACCTAACCTGCGGTATATCTACAATGTTATGGCATGCTTCAATTTGTTGCATAACAAGTGGCTTAGACGGAGCTGCAAAAACAATTTTTCCTGCCATGTTGTAGCATAAAAAGAAGTAAATATGTTATTGGCAAGTTTAAGCAGTTTGCTTAATAGACAAAGTGATGAGTTAAGACTTGAGTAGTTGAGAGTTAATAGAGGGCCATTATCTATGATCATTGAATAATTCTCTATTAGATTTATAATAAAAATTTTGCAACCAGTCCATTAATTCATCCATTTCAAGACTCTCAATGTAGTGATTTAGCTTTGGGGGAAATAGTAAAGCACTAGTCCATTAATTCATACATTAATTCCTAAAAGTTGCACTGCCGCATAGTGGGTTAGAGATGCTCAAACACACACACTCTGACGCTAGTTGGGAAATAGTAATGCAGTACCTTCTGGAAACCACCTGAAATAATTGTACATTACAACAGCAGCAATGAATGTTTTTCCGAGTCCAGTGGGTAGTGCCACCAAAGTATTGGAAAATAGTGCGGTCCTCGTAATTTCGAATTGATAATCCCGACGGGGAAGGTTTGCTGCAATAAAATTGAACAATGAAAAGAGTGGTCTTCTATAAGCATAAGAAGTGATTCCGTCATTAAACAAATGATTGGCAACAACTTCATATGTAATATATCACCCAAAGCATATAAATTAACAACAAACTCTTCAGTGAAACATCACTTTGTTCTCTGAAAGGCGCAAATCCAGGTATTGGTTGAAATAAGGAAGAAGCATAAAAGAGAGTAATGATGGGAATAAAATGTGTGCATTGTTTTTAGAACGAAGAGTGTTAAAATGTTTGACCCAATGGGAACATACTACCAACTACTGATACAGCATGGCCATCCCGTCATGGTGATATGGAACTGTGCAAACTGCAGAGCACACACAGTGACCATCTTCCCGGGTCAATTACAACTAATTAACCACCCCTGCTTGGGCCTGGTAATGATCTTATTGGCCAAATTCGAGGTTGTAAGCCTCATTATGGGCCTTGTCCGACTCCATCATACCATTATAAGCATCCAACACCACCTCATAAATGGCAGCCTTAGATATTAAAGTATTAAACTGGGCCTAGAAATGAAGATTAATAGAATATGCTCATAATGACTGAAATTGAGAAATAGGACTCCATTCTAAAACCAAATTTCAAGCTTGATGAGAAGCACTAAACTTAGCATAGTATATCACTTAGTGCTAATTTCTTGTACTGGACAACAACAGTATTTTGTGGAAGAAAAACAGCTGTGGAATACAAACAAGCAGGAACAAATTCCCTTGAAGGAAAAAAAATTACCCTACCTAATAAACCTCAATTTTAGTTACACCTTGATTTTCAAAAATTAATAGATGATAATTTATACTACACATTGTAAGAAAAACATATAAAAAGCAAAGAACCTGGATAAATCCAAGTCTTCGCGGCCTCTAAATCGAGTGGAACAAAGCAAACCCTTTCATCACCCTCGTTATCAAAATCTTTCTCATTTAGAATTCCAAAAGGGTTGGAACAGTGGGGACTGGGCTCCGCATTCTTAGCCTTAGGGGAAAATTCCAGAAATTTATCCAGCGTCGACTGCCTGGCAGAAGCAGGAGCACCACCATTGGGTTTTGTAAGCGTTTTCTTGATTGGGGCGGATGTCGAAACGCCACGGGAAGAAGAAGACAAAGTCTCGTCGACGGAGACAGCAGCCGCTGTGGCCTCACAAGCCACGTCGATCTCCCTCACAGCAGCTTCCCAGTCAAATCCCTGAAAATGAATAAAAAAAAGGCTTTGGAGATAGAAATTAAGGAGTTGTGAGTAGGCAAAAAACAGCGTTTAATAGGAATAGGGTTTACATCGTCGTCGTCGAAATTTTGCAGAGAAATGGAGGATGAAGCCATGCACGGAGCGGCCGAGCGGGAAATCTTGGAGTATGAAATGGCTACTGGCTAGAGGAGGGTCTTCCACGGGTGGAGACTTTTAAGCGCCACTCCACAGATAATTTTTGATAATTTAAGTTTGGAAAAATTCACATAAATAATCTAAACTATTGACCATCTTCCAATATTAATCCCACATATTGATAATTCTAATATAATTTGAACTTTAAGGATGGTAAATTACACGGTACAACCGGCTGTACCTAGCGCATGGTACAGCCGGGTTTTTTTGTAATTAACTTCAACTCTGGGGCTTATTTTGCTTGTCCTTCCTATTGATCGTCCTCTTCTCCTTCCTATTGATCGTCCTCTTCTCCCAGTTACAGCCGCGATCTCTATTGCCATTCAACCGCGATTCTCTCCAGGCTTTCCGTCTCGTTATCGATTGAAGTAAGATTATCTTATTGATTCATAGTTTCTTCCAATTTTTCTTCTTTAATGTTTCCATCTTTGCTCTTAGTTTCGTTCTTCTTCTACAGCTTTCGTCATTGTGCTTATTTTTATTATTTAATTTTATTTCTTCTTCCGCAGGTTTAGGTTTCAGCTTTCATGGAATCTAGTGATACCTTGAGTCAAGCTTTTTTGTCTAGAACAGAATGTAGTGTTCCTATGCTACCAAGTATTGTGCTTTCTTACATTTTATCACTTTGTAATGCTTTTTTAATTTTTTGATGAGCATTGACTTACTTAGTAATGATTATCTGTTTTCTGTTTTGCCTTGTTATCCGCTATGTAGATGATATTTCTTGCAGTGGCAAATTAATAGAGGCTATTGAGGCCAGAGGCGAACTTTTTGATGTTGATTGCAGTACTGATTTCTCTCTTTACAAGTTACATAGTGTTGTTTACTTTGAGTTATTATTATTCATTTGTGTGTTTTTTAAAATTCAGCTTATATGGAATCTGACGATACTTTCAGTGAAGATTTTTTTGTCTAGAACTGAATCTGTTGCTGTCCTACCGAGTAATTTCCTTTTTTACATTTTATCACTTTTTAATGTTTTGTTGTGTCATTTAGATGATTATTGTATTTTTTAGTAATGATTATATGCTTTCTTGTTTTGATGAGTTTTCATTTTTTGATGCAGTTCAAAATTCTTCTGCTTTTATTCATGTAGCCCAATCTGAAGAGCCTTTGTCTGTTGAAACTATATCTGTTAAGGAAGCTGAAGTTTCTGAACTATTGGGTACAACAGTTTCTTCAGAAAATGAGGCATTTGAGCTATATAATGACTATACTTATAGAATTGGATTTGGTGTGCGTTATTCTACTTTGAGAAAGCGAGTTGGTAGTTCTGGTTTTAGAGGCAGAGAATTTTGTTGCACGAAACAAGGTGCGAAGAGGAACAAAGGTGTTGTAGGTAAACAATATACAAAAGTTGATAGGCGAACTGGTTGTAAGGCAAAAATATATTTTGAGATAAAGCCTACTGGAGATTTTGTCACTGTTAGACATGACATGCTGTTTCGTCAAGTGAGTTAGAGTATTTGCAACATTTGAAAAGTAAAGGAGTTAAAATAGCATATGGGTTTCGTTGCTTGCAAGCTGAAGCAGGTGGCTCTCCTTCTGTCGGTTTTCTTTTATGTGATGCTTATAATGAGTTGACAAAAAAAACTAAAAAGTCTTTTGATGGTTGTGATGTCAATACACTGATTAATACTTTTAAGAACAGACAGGCAAATGAAGAAGATTTTTTCTATTCTTTTGAGGTTGATTTGGATGGTTCTTTGTGTAGTTTTTTTTGGAGGGATAAGAAAATGAAGGAAGATTATCTTGCATTTGGTGAATTGGTTATCCATGATACAACTTATCGCACCAACAAATATGATATGATTTGTGGACCCTTTATAGGTGTTAACTTTCATACTCATAATTGCATGTTTGGTTGTGGGTTCTTGTTGAATGAGCGAATTGAGTCGTTTGAATGGCTTTTTAATACATTCTTGCAATCTATGGGTTCTGTCCACCCAAGAACTGTTATGACCGATCAATCTGCTGCTATGGCTTCTGCAATTGCTACAGTTTTTCCTCAATCCAAACATCGTCTTTGTATATGGCATATCATTGAAAATTCAAAAAAACATATACGTGATTTACGCAATCAAGAGGGATTCTTGGATTTGTTTGATCATGTTTTGAAACTCTGTCACACGGTTGCTGAATTTGAACATTACTGGAATAGGTATGTTTCATTGTGCCTATTTTTTTTGTTCTTACACACTTGCATTTATACTGTGTTCATGAGTATTGTTTACATTGGTTATGAGTAAACAGTTTTACGAAGTGATTATACGTTTTAATGCATTATATTGTGTTTTTTTGCAGAAGGATCTCTGAATTTAATTGTTCTGGTAATCCTTGGTTAACCAAACTGTATGAATTGAGGGAGAAATGGTGTCCAGCTTTCTCAAAAGAATTCTTTTCTGCTGGCATTTTATCTTCTCAACGAAGCGAGACTACAAATCACTCTTTGTCTAGAAAGCTGAATGCTAACTCTTCTCTATGTGACTTCTATCATTTTTTTAGTGAAGCTCTCAGTCAATGGAGAAGTAATGAGGGAAAAGATCACCAGCGTTGTTTGGATGGTTATCCTGAAATTGTCATTCCGTATGTTAGTTTGTTGCATAAAGCTTCCAAAGTTTATACAATTGATGCATATAAACTATTTGAGAACGAATTTATGCGAGGTATGTCTCTGAAATTTGAACTTAGATACCATCAAGGTTCTTTAATGGGATATTTGGTATGGATGCCTCACACAGATCGGTTTTCACATTGGGTTTCATTTGATTTAGCAACACATTTGGTTAGTTGTTCTTGTCAGAAATTCCCAGAGGCTGGTATTTTGTGTTGTCATATTCTTCGTATATATCATATTAACTGTGTAGAAGTTATTCCCGATTGTTATATTCTGAAACGTTGGACTCGTATGGCAAAGTCTCTTCCAAGTGAACAACCTTTTGTTTTGGATGATTCTTCCAATGTCTTACCTTCAGTTTGGAGATTGCAAATGCAGAAGAAATTTCACAAGCTTTTGTGCTCTAGTGATTCTAATTCTACAGCAAGGCAATTTTGTGAAGAATCTTTTAAAAAGTTGAAAATGGATGTTCAAGATCAAGTTGGAAGCATTTATTTCTCTGATAGTGATTCTACCTCAGTTGATGTCAGTTCAAGAATTTCTAATCCGAAGACTTCAAGGAAAAAGGGTGAAAGAAATGTGCGTCGCAAGAGTCTTATTGAAGTGAAAAACAATCAAGCCAGAGCAAGGAAAAAGTCACGTCAATCTAGTACATCAGCACCTCAGCACACAAGTTTGTAGTTAGATTTTCAAATATCAATGTTGTCACTGTTATTGTTCCCTCATTTGCTATTATTAGACTAATGTCTATTATTATATTACTCAGTGACTTTGTGTTGATACTCACAGTAGAACCTTTTGTTGATCATTTAAATTTATAAATTGCAATACTGTGTAATGGCTGACTATTCTAATGTCTATTATATTACTTTGCTGACATCTGTTGTTAAATTACATTACTCAACTTTTTTGTCTTAATACGCAGAACTTAAGTTTAATTTAATCATATATACATATCGATTGTTAGATCATTTATTTCGTTTATAGTTTACACTATAATTATTCTTGTCTATTGATAATCAATTAATTAAATATTATGAGTTTGATTACCAATGTCAATGATTATGTATATATTACTATTGTATTCATTCAAGATGAATACTATCATTTCTAAAATTCATCTCTTTTCATGTAATACAATAATTTTTAATAATTTATACTCAAATTATTATCTATTTAAAAATGATTTTATATTATTACCTTGATGATTAATGACAAAATATTGCACAATAAATCCTCTACAACGCTCATTTTGCCTAGGTATAATACTCATGTAGCCATCATGAGTAAACAAGGTGCTTTTAATGATCATTGATATATATGCAATATCTACACTACCATCATTTACTATTACAAAATTTATATCACCAGGAGCATATAAAGTGCTACTCATATATTTCAAATGTTTTGCTATTATTTGTTGTTACTTTATACTAAACTTAAATGGATTTCAAATGTGTAAATCTTTTATCGTATAAATGAGCATTGATGGATATAGTAACGATCATTAGTATAAAAGTAATGTCTAACAACCATGATTCAATATTACATACTTTATCAATGTCAACCATCTAACAATATAGTAAAAGCCAGTAGTAAAAACATGTGTAGACATTCACATTCAAATACTAAAAAAATGTTTACACTATAATTATTCTTGTCTATTGATAATCAATATATTAAATATTATGAGTATGATTACCAATATATTAATTATTACCTTGATGATTAATGACAAAATATTACTAGATATAATACTCATTTAGTCATGAGTAAACAAGGTGCTTTTAATGATCATTAATATATACGCAATGTCTAGACTACCATCATTAAATATTACAAACTTTATATCCCCACGAGCTTATAAAGTGCTAGTCATATATTTCAAATGTTCTGCTATTATTTTTTGTTTCTTTATACGAAACTCAAATAGATTTTTCAAATTCATAAATATTTTATCGTATAAATGAGCATTGATGGATATAGTAATGATCATTAGTATGAAAGTAATGTCTAAAAGCCATGATTCAATATTACATACTTTATCAATGTCAACCATCTAACAATATAGTAACAGCCAGTAGTAAAAACATGTCCAGACATTCAAATTCAAATACGCAAAATATGTTTCTTCCAACTACCACATTAAAGTCAGATTTTTGGTCCTACATCACATTCTTTTGCTTCACTTTTTCCATCACTTCCACCCTGACTTCATTCTTATCATATGTCAATATTTTATGCACATACTTGATCCTCAGAGTCTGTATTCGCTTCTCCTGCATTATAATACATGTTAGTTTTAATATATCATGTGTCACCTAGTAATTCTATTAGTCAAAATTACTAAACATTTATGAAACAAATATGCACTTACATTTCCTTTCTCAAGTCCACACTCCCAACCAGCATCTCCATTGAAGGTTTCCATATGTCTCATCAGGTAGATTCCTTCGTTTTCTTTTTTGTCATTGTTTTGGCATGACATTGTTAATACTTTCGGCTGCATGCTTTTCACTTTCTCTGCATGTGGGTGCCTTACCTCTCTGAGCCACTTCAGAACAACACTTTTCTGTACATGTATGTATTCAAACAGTTTGTGTATTAGTATGTGTAATAACATGTGAACAATTAATATGTATAAATACCCATAATATTTATCCAATATACTCATTTACAAACCAAAATAATTGTTCTTTTAATACTTACCAGATTGGTTGGTTGATTACCGTACTTCATTTTTATTGTTATTTTCCTGTCACAGCTATCAATGATGCTGAACTTTGCATTCTTCAAATCAAAGCACATTAGGTAATATCTTCCATTCTTTACTGTTGGGAATAAAAACAAATCCATTTTGTCCACTTGTGGCAATTTTCTCTGGAATTGTTCCCGTGTGGCTTCAACAAACCTCTTAAGCTTTACTGTTGCAGTGCTAATCTGGTGTTCCTCCAATACTTTCTGTATATCAATTATTTAAAATATTACTTATAAATCTATGAGTAAAAATATATACAACACTAATTCTTACACATGGTGCTGCTGTCAATATCAGTCTCTTTCTCGATTCCGGGCTCCCAAGAGTCTCATAGTGGTTCAGAATCATTGCCCATATATCTATGACTTTAGGACTAACTTGGGAATTGATATCCAAAGACTGTAGTTCTTCCTTGGTAACAACAACATCTCCCTCTTTGAACAACACAATACTATTTCATTTGAAAAAAAAGTGGTCAACAAAGTGTCATCAAGTTATGAAATATTTAATATATATTTATATAATAATAATTCTTTTTCATTATAAGTATTCAGTTCCTTACTTTTTATCAATGCGGTCGTTAAACACAAACTCAGCCACTTTTATCTCTTCATTCATAATTGAGCCTTGGATATCAATAACTCTAATAAAATATGGAGACTTCAGGGGAGGTGCAACGTTTACTTCTCTTTTATCTGTCACTTGATTCTCTTGATCATAGCCTTCATCTTCAAGGGCAACCTGCTTTCCCTTTTCAGCTGCTCTCCTTGCTTGTTCTTCAGTTTCATGCTCCCTGCTTTCTGTTTCAACATTCACTTCACAATGCTCATTATGCAAATCTGCATACTCATTGAAGTCTTCATGATGCTCATTAGATTCCTGGGACAGTAATGTGAAGCTTGGCTTTTCATACTGTGTCAGTGTAGTCCTCTCATTTCTCTTCTTTTGCGCCTTCTCAATAGCTTCAACGGCTCTCAGAACTTCTTCTGTCCAGAAATCATCATCTGGTGTCAATGTTATTTCTTTTGCCTTTTCAGTTGTTGCCGGTTTTTTGGAGTATGTGTTGAACAGTCCATGGACTTTTTCAAGGAGCACCTTCATCATTTCGTCATCTGGCAAAACCTGCGCAGCCTTCTGAAACTTCTCGTCATAGATTGATATGCTTTCAGCCAACTGTTTAGCTGCCGCTGCGAATTCCTTCATAACGTTCTGCTTAATCATTACAACAATATCATTATAAACTTAATCATTACTATTTCTTGATCTAAAATAGTACATTTCTTAATTTTTAGAACATTATTATTACTTTTTTATATCTCAGCCATATATTCGTACTCATTATGTTGTAACAGACACTCATTAAAACATATCACTTGTAAAAAAACTCGATTAAAAAACATGTGTCAAAACATTTTATTGGTGTTAATACTCATTGACATACAAAACCATTATCATTCTGTTATCTCCATTAACTCAGAATTAGTAGAAATTTAACATCGTTTCATACCTTTTCTGGTTGCTGTGAACATTCAGCTTCAGATTGTGTTGCCTTGTTTTGATCAACTCCTATCACTTCTGGTGTCTCAAGGGTTCCATGATTTGCTTCTTCTATGAAACCATAACCAAAGCCTCCGCTTTCCATCTCTTCTTTTTCTCTTTTATTCAAATGCTGTGTAGTCCATCCAATAAATGCTGGTGCTTTCCTCGGCACTCTCTTTCCTTTAAACATCAGTCTGTCAACATAGAACATCTGCACATAGTGTGCATTTAGAATTGAGCATAAAATTATCAAAACATTTATTAGTATATTTATTCTGTTTAGCATTATGAGTTCATAATTTTTTTATACTTACAATCAGAAACAGTATAGATCCAAGGAAATGTCGTGTTCTGTCCTTATTCCAAAAGTCTTTTGCTTTGATGAGAGTGTGCAATGTATAACCACACCAGTCTAGATCCTTAACTCTTAACTCATCATCCAAAGCTTTCAGAATGTTTTGGTTCACGTAGCAGTTTAGCTTACCTTCTATCAATAGTGTCACTAATAGAACCAAAAAATTCTTCTTAAACCACCCTCCTCCTTCTCTGCTCTCCTCCAAAGTTTTCTTCAACTGGCCTGTTTTCACTTGGCCTTTCTCATTAGGGAACTGATTTCTCCACTCAGCTACCATTTCAGAAGTCAACTCACCTTGTGTGTCAATTTTCTCTTGTATATTTATTGTTCCTCTTGGGAATCCCAATGTGTAATGCACTGATTCTTCAGTGATGCGCACCTTCTCTTGATTTGGTAATATCAAAGACACGCTCCTGCTATCAAAGTTGTCTACAACCCAATGGCCGAGATTTGCAGGCAATTGCTTGACTTGAAGTAGTAATAAAGGTCCAAATCCCATCTCCACCACTTCTCTTTTCTGTTGATCACTCAGTTTTTCAACCACTTCTGTGAAACTCTTCGGAGACATTCTTGTCAAGATTTTTGGAAACACAGTTTCCTCCTCTTCAATATTAACTTCCTCCTCTTCATCTCTTTTTTGTTTTTCCATTTTCTTTTTCTTGTTCTTCTTTGACACAGTAGGCATGTTCCTAGTAACTCTCCTCTGAGTTGTTTCTTTTCTTTTCCTTTTTTTTTGCAATAACTTCTGTCTTTTGAACTTCTGCTTTTTTCCTGTTAAGCTCATCTTCCTCGTTCAAATGCGCATCAGATTCTGTCCCTTGCTCATTCCCTTCTATCCATTCGTCTTCTTTATCTTCCTCGTTTTCTTGATCATCAATTTCTGTCTCTTGATCCTCTATACTTCTCTGTTGTTCATCTACCTCGTTCGGTTTCTCATGAACTTCTTTCACTTGCTCAACATTTCTGCTTTGGTCTTCATCTTTATTTCCGCCTTCTTCATCTTCATCCCTCTCTTTGTCAACATATTCTGGCTCAGCAGTATTCATCTGAACATCGTCTTCTTTCTGCACTGGAACATTATCTTGCACAATCTTCTCCAAAGCAACCTTCCCTGAAGTCATGCTTTTAGAACCTTTCTTAGTTTTTTTCTTTGTCACCTTTTTTGGTTTTTTCGGTGCTTGTGGACGAAGCACTGGTACTTCAGTAAGAGGAACTTGCTTCACATTATTTCCTTTATCCCTGCATTAATAATTGACATCAGGACATTGAGATATACATTATATGTATATATTGTGAAACAGAGAAATAAAGTGGTAATTATAACTTCTTAACATTGGTATGGGTAATACATACAAGCAAATGAATATTATATTACAAAATTTCAAACAACATTCACTTGTGCACAAAGTAATGCGTTTGGTACTATTGGTGATATACTTATTCTAATTCCTCACAACAAATGTGTTAGTACTCTATTTTAATTATATAATGAGTACGCAGTGATGTATTATGAGTATTATATATAGTTTAATTAGCATGTTAAAAAAAACAAGTCAAATAAGTTTCACATATTTCCTCTTATCATCAAACTACTTGTGTTAATTAAGAAAATCATTACTCAGTACACAAGTTTCATTATCACAACAACTATGGTTCAGTTCTATGCTCTCTTGTAATACCTTAAACACAATCCACTCTTCCTGACAACAAATGTGTGAGTTCCTTACTTTAAATTATGAGTACTCAGTGATGTATTATGAGTGTTGTATACAGTTTAATTAGCATGTGAAAAGAACAAGTCAAATAAGTTTCATTATAATACTTTAATCTGTCAGTACTCTACTTTAAATAATGAGTACTCAGTGAGATACTATGAGTATCATTTGTAATGGCAACAATATAATGCACACTCATTACACAATTCTGAGTATTATACACAATCACTTGTACATGCCATTATACTATCACAACAACACTTCACTTTTGCTCAAACTAATTGTGTGATTATTCTGCAATACGTAATGAGTGTGCACTATACTATTATGAGTACTATGTACATCCAAATTTGTATAATAACAGAATAACTCATTTCAGTTTGATATATATATATATACACACACACACACACACATATATGCTATCATTCAATGACTACATGTTCATAATAGCAACACTGCACACTCATTATACACAATCACTTGTACATGCCATTATACTATATCAACAACACTTCACTTTTGCTCAAACCAATTGTGTGAGTATTCTGCAATACGTAATGAGTGTGCACTATACTATTATGAGTATACTATACACAATGAATTGTATCTTAACAGAACAAGTGCCATAAATTCATGTCTCCACAAAACAAATCAAACAACTAAACATGCATGCAGTGCTCACCATAGTTCAAATTATTTTCGTTATATCAGTCCTACTTATTCAACAAAATATTATGAGCATTAATGACAACATAATATTATGAGCATTAGAACATCTTAGACATAGTTCAAATCGCATGCAGTACTACTTAGACAAGTCTCATTTCTTCGCATGCTGTGTCTATTGTGCAAATCGTTTTTGTAATCTAACAATATGTCAAGTTAATTTAGTACATTGCTCAAATCTAAACAATTGAATACCTGTTCGATTCTTCTGCACCTTCATTCATCTTTTCTGCTTCGTTAGAAATCAAGTTCCATTCATCTCTGATATCCATTGCAGCTTGAAACTCAAACCCTACTGCTTGTTGCTCACTACTCTATCTCTGCTTTTCTCTTTTACCGCTGGCTTCCTGTTGCTCACTACTCGATTAAGAGTTCACCATTAATGGCGATTTACCAACTACTATCGTTTTTCGAGCTAATAGACGGCAGATATATTTATTTTCCCAAAAGATCCGTCTCTCGAAGAGTGTTCCGTCGCAACAGTTCAGAGCGGAAGTTAGTTTTCCATTTATGAAATGTTTAATCGATGCTTGCAGCTTTTCAAATTTACCTGGTAAATTAAAAACTTGGGCTTTTTGTATGGGTTGAGCTGAAAATATGTTTTGGGCTTCACATTTGGGCCGGCTGTACGGTGCTCACCGTACAGCCGGTGGTATGGTATACGAATCCTTTAAGGATAACCTTCCCAAAATGATCCCGTGACTTGCACTAACCA